ATAATCACAATTTCAACGTTTAAGCTGTGAAACTAGAGTACCTCTTTAGTCAAAAGGACAGATGGTCATCTGACGTCACTTCAGAACTAGCTTAGCATCCTTTTCTTAACCACTGTCCCGAACGCAATTCCCTTCTTTAATAACAGAGCTCCTAAATTGGTCATTTAATCTAGGCACTTAAATAAAGTCATGTAAATAACTTCCTCTATACCTAAACTACTACTGAAAATGAACTTTCCTAATCGTTTAGGCCCACAGTAAGCAATTAGCATCTTCCAGACTGAATTCACATGGTCTGCCCGAGCAGGGGAATGGAAAGAAGCACTTCCCTGCCTGACACGCTTCATGAAGAGGTGGTCAGAGGAGTTGCCAGCCCATCATGAGGTGTGTAGCTCCAGTAAGAAGGAACTGGATACCCAACTCAGACACACAGCAGCTCATGTGCTGCCAGAGTGGTGTCCTAGCTCAACAGCCTCTTGTAGCTACACTGGTACATCCCTGGCCCACAGCACTACGAAAGCTGAATTGTCCTGACAATTTTTCAGTTTTGAGAAGCATACCTTGCAAACTCTCTTTGATGTCCTGGTCACAGTTTAGACTAATTTTCATTAATGAGTCTTCAAGACTCAATAAAATGGATTGATCTACCTGGGCACTACAAAATTGTATCATATAACTGAATGAATTAATTTCACACCCACAATTTTTAATAACAATAACAACAACTGCAGAAGAGGACTAGTGTACACATGTAGGAAAAGGACTGGCACTTGATCTAAGAATTAGTTATAATCAGTAACTAAATAATTTAATAACAATGATCAGAGTTCGAGACACACTATAGACATAGTTTATATGGGCGTGAGGAATTTTTTAAAAATTATTAATACTGAAATAATGATAGATCTTTCAATAAAAGTTATAACGTATGTATGCAAACCCAGAGACAAGTTTTTAGATGCCAAAATATAAACCAATACTAGTATTAGCAATTTTGCATCTCCAAAGTTCTTTTATATGAATGGAAAAATGTGTGGAGATATAACATATACACCACCAGTACCTGCAGACGCACAAATTTCAGAGGACAGCAGAAATCAGTCAGATTACAAGATAAGTAGTCAGTAGTTTCAGACTCACATTTCTTTAAAATCATAAAATAAGCAGGAGACAGGACAGCAGTGAGATAATGCCAGTGCCCTGACCCAATGGGTCACTTATAGTTGCAATTATTATTTTTTTTAAGCAACCCCAACTATGGTAATTGATTTAAGTCAGTTCTCTATATGGGCATTAGGTAAAGCCCCAATTGTTGACATTATCTCTTCTTCACAAGAAATTTAACATATGATTAACTTTTCAAGTTGAAGGATAGACTTCTGGGGCACGAGTGCATGCCATGAGATTTCACAAATCCTTTGATGATCACTCTATGATTCTATAAAAGACTCAGTTACCAAACATCATAGGAATGACTGATCCTTTTTTTCCTCACATACCAACTTTTTGTAATAAATCAATAATGAAGTTTCAGAACAGTTTAAATGAAATTAGAAATTGTTTGAATAGCATTACTTTCCTAACTTATTCTAAAGCCGTAAGCCTGCAGCACACCATCTTTACTTTACTTGTTTATGTTCCTCTGTATTGCTTACATACATAAGCTTTCATTGGTTACACTTTTCTTTTGAAATAGACAAGCCTTGAAATTTTCACAATAGCAGATCATGCCTTGCAAACACTGAACAACATAAAAATGGATTTATTGACACAACATAAAACTGCATCAGTAAAGACTCTGTCATTGGAGCCCACCTTGTGGAAGCTTTTGTGAGACCCCCAGACCCTCCTCAGGGTCACAGGAAATCGTCACTCTAGCAGTTACAGGAAGCTATTGCTGCTACTATTCAGTCCCATGCAGGGAGAAAAGTCTGATGTTTCCTGTAGTACACTGTTTCTCAGTGTTGCTGAAAATCCAGCAGACTGGAATTATTTGAGGTACATAACCACAATCCCTCTAATGTGCAGAGTCACAAAGTCTCAGCAAACTTGTTAGAACTTCAAATTGTAAACCTCTAATCTAAAATTATTACACCCCAGTGTAGATATTAAGAAAAATATCTCCTTGTCCTACCAAGACACTATAAACGCTCCCTATAAATCCCCACACTTGTCTAAGATTTTTCACACGCCCACACTAAGACAGATCAGTTGCAGCATAAAGAGGCATAGTGAGCTCATACATATCCAGCTAGACTGGAGACCAGTAACACCACCAATTCCAGCTACTAGACAACTACCAGGTCACAGCCTACTCTGGAGACTGCTGTTGCTGTTTCACTGTTATTGGGAGATAAATTAACTCAAGCGAGTTGAGAATTTGTAGATGTGCTGCAATCATGCACTTGGGCTTCACTGATTATATGGTTCTATTATTCCATACAAAGCCTTGCACTGTGTGTTGGCTCTTCATAGTAGTGCACTTTTACAGAATTCGGTGCCCAGAGAATGATGCTACCACTAGACATAGTCTTAAACTATATGCACTCTGACTAAACGCCTGTGTTAATTGAGACAATGAGACAATTCACAAACCTCAAGATTTTCTATTCTGAGTTTGGTCAGTGCACTCATACATTCTAGTCATGACAGAACAAATCAGAGTGACTAATATGGAGCAGCACCGGTCTTTAAACAGTCAAGTCTGCCAGCCCTGATCCTTATCATGTCCCAGCTTACCCAAAAAGAAACAATTCTTTCACTCATGTATAGCCCGTGCAGATACAATCATATCTACTTCTTACAGACATCATTCAACCACATCACATCCGTTCACCCACTCAACCCAACTTCTCCAGCCACCCAGGCACCCAATATGCTGTTAACACATCTTCACAGAGCTTTGCATTTTTCCTGCCTTCGAATCACTCTTTTTATTCCATCCAATCCTATCAGTTTCTCTTTCAATTCATAGCTTCCTCTATCTGCTTCTGTCCTCTCTGCCATTTGCTGAACCCACAGAAATTTATTTTAAACTACAGAAAGTGTGCTAATGCAATTTGTTTCATTACCTTAATTTTATTTTGACAGTTTCTAATGGTCCCAGCTATGCCAATTACTACCCAAACCAGCCACAGAAAGACAAACTCTGTTCTAAAGAGATTGCAGGTTAGATTTAAAATAAAGACATACTAAATGGTGATCAAAGGAATTTGGGATGGGGAAAAAAAATATGGTAAGCACTTTTTTATTAAACTTACATGTTTCAACCTGCATCTATATACTTACTGTTAGTGTGCTTCTGTTTAAGGTTTACTTACCTATGGTACCATATTTCAGTTGGCTGCAAGAGCCATCTATAAAAGTCCTTATTTACCTCTTTTTAAAATCACATGTACCCCTTTTCAACATACAAACGATATCGCAAAAGCATGGTTTACATTCCATTTTAAGACCCCCCTGACAGTTTAAACTGCTTGGGTCAAGAACGTGATCTCCTCTGCTATGACCAATTCAGAATGTTAACAAGCCATACACCCAGATCTGCTTCCTATGCTTAGCATAACTATCGTTGGGGACTCCAGTAGATGTAAAAAACCCAACTGTTAGCATTATAATGCTGTCTGCCACAAGGAACACCTGCAGAAAAGCAAGGTGGATTTCAGCAAGCATTAACCTCCCTGAAGTCTGCAGGAGGAAATCCTCCATTCTACACCCATTCCTCTACACAAGTCTGAACTTAACATAACAAAAATAATGTTGGGCTGAGCTACTGTATCTTAATGTCCCATCAGCTCAAGAGCTGATTAGTATCTTCGTATCTGTGGATAATTTCTTGTAGGCTCAGAATTTACTGCCATCCTTCTATGCCATGGCACAGCAGCACCAGAGAAACGATCAGAGGCTAAGTGAACTGGTCGGCTAGCACAATTAAAACCACCAGCCACAAAAAGTACCTGTGCAAGCCATGCTGGTTTGTAGTAAGGGCCACGACAGTTCTGGCCTCCCCTGTACAAAAGCTATATAGCAGCTTTGCTTTTGCAAGCTTCTGTCTGAATGCAAGTATTGGTAAGCTTTTGAAATATAGTACTACATCTCCTGATCTAAAAAAAACCAAACCAAACAACAAACAATACCCTTTTTATTAAAAATAGCATACATACAAAAGATACCCCCATGCCCTGCCAGCCCTTCTAGCCAACAGGATGCCTTTTCCTCACATTGCTAATCTTGGGATGAAGAAATGGATTACTACTACTGTAAGACAGTAATAAAGGAAACAGCATTTGAACAGATGATTGTACCTCCAGCATGCAAAACAGCCCTGTGCATGCAGAGGATGGTTTGGTCTACTGTTGAAATACAGCTGGAGTACCTCCAAGCACAGTGAAATTCTTTGTGAAGGAGAGGAATATAAAATAGTTCTGGTGTTATGTATGCATTACCTTCGCTAATATACTTCTCTAATCTATCCTAGGGCTCATCTGAATAAGGTAAAAAGTATCTGGGAAACAAATCTTCATTTTCTACATGTTGTATATTGTTATAACTGCACAGAACAAAAATAACGATAGGAAAGAGCAATGCAGTTCTCCTTCCTCTCCTATGACCGTTTCTTTTATACCAGGCTTCTTCAAGATGAGAATTCTTCACAAACCATTTGTGAACTGCTGCAAGCCTTCCAGAGACACTATTGCACTCTCCTTGGCAGAACATACAGAAAAATCTGAAACCTCAAATCCGAAGTAAAACTGAAATCCTTACAAAGGGATAGCTTTGAAATGGAGGTAGCTCAGTAGCAACACAAACCACCTCATTATTCTCCAGAATTCTGGCAAAGAACACATTCAGCCCTAGGGGCGCCTAGGCAGCTGCCATCTTTCAAAGCATTATGGCCTTAGGATATGGAATAGAGATCTTTTGCAAATATAGTCTAACAAAGTTGTTTCAAAATTATTTAGGAAGTAATATTAATGGCAAGTAGTTTTGGAAAAGCTTACCAAATCTGTTTTCTTTTCAGCCACAGATCATGTGCTGAATCCATCTGCTGTTTCTCCATGACACAGACTGACAAAGCTGCAAGCATAGCTGGGAAAAAAAAAATTGTAACTCAGTTATCATATGACCCCTTGCCCAATAAACACATTTTATTCTACCCACCCACACTACTAAACCATTGATTTAAGAGACATAGTGGTAAAACATATAAAAATGTATCGAGTAGTTTTATCTTGAGCAAATTAAGTATATTTCTAATGTATGTCTTTGGAAATGACTAGCTGTTCTTCCTGGTGTTCCCATATGTTCTTTACACACTTTTCACCACCAGTAATGCAAACATTACGTTCACCATGCAGAGTAACCCACTATCACAGACACAAAAGGAAGAATCTTTATATGTATTGCTATGCGAGTCAGACTACTAAGATCAGGGCAATAGGGTAGGTTAACCATGCCTTTATTACTGAATAAAATCCTATAGCTAGCAGCTTACAAGAGCACATTACCATTACATACAGTTCCACATAGCTTTCTCGCTGTTTATAGAAGAATATTCCATGTCTTCGTTTATTAGTAAAAAAAAAAAATAAATCTTTGCATTACTGTAGTCCTTTAACTACATACACTTTTCCTACAACTTTTCCTACAACAAAGAGAAACAAAGGTGAGTGTAGTACCAGGCCTTAAATCTGATCAAAGCTTAACTTTGTATGCCTCCTACTTTTTTTTTTTTTTTTTATTTCTTCATGCCCATTACATCTAAGTTTTCTACCTGACAGCCTGGGGGTGTAGCTCTGTTTGTACTGTAAGCACATGGTTGCTGGCAAGTTTGAAGCCTGCCAATGAAAATCACTAACATGAAAAAAAAAAAGGGATACTTCATTTTTAAATAACATCTTATAGATTTGACTTGCTACTTTTCAGACAATTTCATTCGTTGCTGAGCAATATACCCCTCATAACAGCGACAGGAATAAAACCATTCATGCTTTGAGATCGCTTTTGTCTGTCTGTCTCTAGTTGTTATTACTCATCCATCTTTCCAACAAATCCCTACTTGGACTTAGTTACTAAAATGTAAAAGCACGCATGTAACAGGCCAAATTTTTTTTTTTTTTCCTTTTTTTAAAGGAAATACGCGATCTCCTGTCGGGGGGGCGAAGGGGGGGGGGAAGACTACCCACATAGTAGCAACTATTGATCTCACAGTAAGAAAAATCATTGATGCTGAACGTCTATCATCGGTTCAGAACATCTTAAAAGAAAACGTTAACTCTTGCTCCCCTTTTCAACATCGAGCTTTCCACCTTCATCTGCCGTACCTAATTCACGCTATTTCATCTCGTGAAGCGCTGATTTACTTGACAAAAGACACCGCGCCCTCTGCCTCCCTCACGTTTTCCCTCTGGCCGGCCATCCGCCCGCTCATCGCAGCTTTCACTCACCCCCCTTCCCCCAGCAAAGGCCCTGCTCTCCCCCACAGAC